TATAGCTGCCATGAAACGAGACATGAATTTGGCTGCTGCATTTATGGCTTATGAGAGAACGGTTGTAAGCCGAGCTTAAATAAGATTAACAGACGCGTCGGTTTTGTGCGCATCTCATCCAATTTGAAATACAATTTTCCGAGATGTTGTCTTCTACTTGATCTTTCCATCGTATTCGTGGCCTTCCCCTTCTGCGTGAACCACTACTTGGCTCGCTTTTATATGCCTTTTGAGCTGGAGCATCTTCATCTTCATTCTCACAAGATGGCCTAGCCAACGTATTCGCTGCAGCTCGACCCGTCTGATTATTTCGATGTCCGAGAATAAATCAGCAAAGTGCACAGGATTTCATTTCGGGGGGGCCGGTAGTATAAAATTAAAAAATTCCCTGTTGGAAGCATATATTTACTGTGAACAATAATCAATTCGGGGGGGCCGGGCCCCCCGTGCCGCCTCCCTGTGTACGTCTCTGGAATATATGGTATGGCTCATGGTTCATTTGGCGAAGATATTTACACCATCGACGCAGATCTGCCCATAGATCTTCCGGAGATTTTTTTTTTCAAAGATTCCCAGAGCTGTCTCATCTGCTTTCCAAGTACACATGCTTCAGATCCATACAACAGCACGGGTAGTTTCAGCGTCTTGTAGAGTGTGAGTTTGGTTTGGCGAGAGTTGGCCTTATTTTTAAACTGACCATAGTAGCATCAGTTGGTTTTGTTTATGGCGGTACCGAGGTATATAAAATCGTTCACTACCTCGAAGCTGTAGTTTTCAAGTTCCACAGCTGGTCCGAGTCTACTGGAGTCTTGCACGTTGATACCATCAGATTGATCTTTTCGACATTTAGTACCCGTCCGTTAAAAGGTGGCTGTTACCAATCGCAATGTTTGATAGATTATGTAACGATATATAAAATCGTTCACTACCTCGAAGCTGTAGTTTTCAAGTACCACTGTTGGTCCGAATCTACTGGACGTCTTGCGCGTTGATACCACCAACTTGACCTTTTCGCCATTTACTGCCAATCCCACTTTGGCAGACTCCTTCTCAATTCGTTCAAAGGTGTCTGTTACCCCTCGGAATTTTCGGTGGGTGCCTTCGGTATGGCTGCCTTACCTATCTTATATCTTAAAATCTCAAATCTCTGACGGACTTTAAACTTTTTAATTTAGAAGGTAATTTTATTGTGCATCCTGTGTTTTGAGTCTATTCTTTCACCTGACAGCGGAACTTTGGGCGCCACCTTTTCCTTCATGGGCTATATTTTGAAGATCCCATATAATCTTCAAATCAAAAAGGGCAATAATTTGATATTTCTGATGTTTGAGATATTGAAACCTCCATAGACCCCTGTTTTTTGCACCATAGACGGTCTATTAATTAGTCTGTTCCCGTACCAAAGAACTGGTAAATTTTGTGAAAAAATTTCGATTAAAAAAACAAAGGTCGCGCATATCTGTATCGACTTCAAATTTTCTTAAAAGTATTTGGATCGAATAAAATTGTGCTATACAAAAAAACCCACATTTAGTAAGACGCATTATTGATCGGATCCAAGATCTATTAATAAGGTCACCCAGCTAGCGAAAGTCACCTGTTTTCTCAAGTCTAATGTCAAAAATTTTGAACATTGTTTACGTTTTTATAATGGAAGTCAATTCACAATAATGGATTTTGACTGAAGACTTGAGAGACGTCTGATATCCAGCTGGTCACCCTGGGTGACCTTATTAATAGACATTGATCGGATCCTAACATCATCGCATAAAGAAGACATTTACAAATAATATCTATATTTCATTTAGATTCTGAAGACAGGATAATATAATTTGTTTTAATTATTGGTAACCCTAGTTTTATCCCAAAACGTTTCCCATTAATATCTATATTATTTATTCAATCCATTTTTATTTTTAAAACCTCTTAAAATAAACAATTAGGTATTTAATCTTCCTAAAATATTATTTTTTTTTTTTTTTTTTTTTTTTTTGCTAAAAAATAGAATACTTTTTCACCGTTTATTACAAAATAATTTCAAACTATATTTATTTTATATTATTTCTATTATTAAATAAGTCTTTCCTTATTAAATAAATAATATAAATTAATTTAAAAAATATTTAAATTGTATTTTATTTCTATTTAATTTCAACAAAATTCCATCACTCTAATATTTAACCTTTTCAACATAAATCATTCCATCTCTTTTACACACATATAACCCACAGTACCATATTGTCATTGAATCACACTCACAGCTGTTTGTCTCTTTTCTCTCTCACTGTCCACAACACCAGTGTTAACGAACGAAGAGAGACGCAATTGTCATTTTTTCTTGCTTGTCATACAGTCTCATTTCAACGGCGGTAAAGAGTGAAAGCGAAGACGGTTGAATGTGCGATTGGCAATAGATTTTTATTGTGGAATTAAATAGAAAAATTAAAATATTAATTAAATTCATTGTATAATAAAGTGAAATAACAACAAAAACAATAAAAGTGAACAAAATTAAACAAGCAAAAGAAAATCATTGCTTAGAAAGCAACAAATCACGGTACTATTCTTTTCTATTCACCGCAGAAGAAGAAGAAGAACGAAAACGTCGCCATATTTTTTCTCTGTCTGGCTTGTGTGTGCATGAAAAAAAGACAAACGAACGAAACGGGGAAAAGAAGAAGCGAACATGAACAATCACACAAACGCTTAATGTTGCTATGCTGCTGCATTTGATGAAGTGAAAAGGCATACGACAACGAAGGCCATTCGACAGACGGCTCGCGGCAAACGAAGGAGATAAAAAACGAGGTCTGTGTGAGAGTGTGTGTGCGAAAGGAAAGAAAAAAGTGGTCAAATGCGTTGTACAAACCATAGCAGAAGGAAGAGTGTAGTATAAAACAAGAAATATTCTGTTCGAAAGAAAAAATTATTGTGCATCTCATGTTGTGAGGTCCCAATTCAACAAAATTTGCTAGAGAAAGAAACAAACAATAATAAAGCATTATCATCATTAATGTGTGAGAAAACAAAAAGAAACGAAACAAAAAATCCAACAATAACAAAATATCAAAACAATAATACCGGAGACAATTTGAAAAGGAAAAAAAAATAACTAAAACTAAAGGAATTTTCTGACTGCAGAAGAAGAATTTGTGTAATTTTTGTGGCTAATTGTTTGGCTTTGCAGGCCGTCTTTGTGAAGCAAAGTGAGGACGGGCCTGCCGTACTGTGTATTGCATAAATCGAAAAGGTAAAGTGTGTAGTGGTGACATCAATGACAATTGAGAGCGTTAATAGAACATTATATCAGTGGAAAAATGTGAATTGTGTCCAATTTCCCCCCAATAAATCCCTATCCTGTTGCAAGTTTCCCTCTTAAAAAAGAAATTCTTAATGTTTTGTGTTGAAGAAAAATCAAAACAAAGTTTTTTATTTCATCTATTTTTTCATTCGTTCTCATTTCTTCACATATATCGTTTAATGGTAGCAGCTATTCGTGTGCTATTTTTTTCTGTTTCGTGTTCGTCATCTCGTTTTATCTTCGTGTTTTTTTCTACCACACATATTCGTTTATTTCATGTTGCTTGTCATTTGATTGCTGCTATGGTATACTCTCTGTCTCTTTCACTCTCACAGTGCCATATGTGGTGTAGTAGTTGAGAAAAAGCGCGCGTGTTATCAATTCACTGGTACTGTTGCATGTTTCTTCTTCTTGTTCTCTGTCATAATGTTAGCAATCAGCAGTGAATTCAATTGGGTTTTGTTTACATTATTAATTGACGACCAAGTGCAAGAAATTTTATGTTTTTTTGAGGAGAAATAGTTAAATTATATTTAGAAATATATTATTTAATGTGTTTTTGTTGTTGTAGAGTAAAAATATTATGTGGAGCAGTGAAAGAAAAGAGTTGGAAGTGATTAAAATGTCAACATGAAATCACAACCTGTCGGTGTTTCTTTGACTGGCTGCCAATCTGTTTGAGTGCAAGCTTATGCATGTTAGGCATATGAGAGTTTTTATAGTGCAGGTTAAAGCATGTTGGAGGTATGAATAATAAATTAAATAGTGATTTTTTATTGAATTAAAATTTAATTTTATTGCAGGGTAATGAGAAAACAAATAAATACATTTAATTAAAATGAGAATGAATTGTGAGAGAGACGGTGAGAGCATTTTGGAAGTAAAGATCAAGCAAATTTACTTATTGGGAGTAGTTAGCATCAATCGAAATTGTTAAGGAAATTAATTAAAATGAAAACCGTCTGGACCTCCTTAACAAATTTAATAGATTTGAATTCAGAATTGTATTTTTTTTATATATGAACAGAGGAATCTGTTGAAGTGCAAGTTAAGAGAGGGTATGAATTGTAAAATTAATTAGTGATTATTTACTGTATTAATACTTAATACATTTTTAGAATCGTACTGAAAGCAAATATTTGATTGAGAATTCCGAACGATTTGAAAACTCTTTTGTATTAATTAACCTCGATAGTCTCAAAATGTTCGGTGATCATTGTTGCCTATGGACTCACAATTTGTTTCAAAAATATGGTATAATCGATCAATGTCCCTTAAAAATATCCTTTAAAACCCCCCTTAAGGCCTCGATGATCTCCAATTTAACTTTTAATATCCGGTAAATGATCTCAGAAACACATGAAGTCTTTCAAAATCCCTGAAAGAGAAGTCTATGAAAAATCTATTCTTTAAAAAGCCAGGTTTACATCTGAGGAAGTCCTCGAAAAATTATCTACATTTAATTCTGATCTTAGATGTCCTTAAAAATATTAGTTAAACTGTATAAACCTATAACTTTGATGGTGCCTTAAATTCAGGCTTAGACCATGAAAACATATTTTTCAAAAAATCGTCGACTTTAAAATTCACGTTGAAGAAGTCCTTGAAAAAAATATTTATAAAAAATTGACTATTTTAACATTTACTTTTTTCTTCCTTCTCTCTACAGATTCCCATTTGACCTCGATAAAAATTAGGATCTCCAAATGATGGAAGATCTAACAAAAAATATAATATTTACAAATGCTCTTGGAGCAAATGTACAACCAACCACAATACAATATCAGACGGCGGATGGTACCATTATCAAGCAACCGAAAATTGAGGGACAAAAGGATCAACCGACATTCTATTATACCACAAATGTAAGTACCGAATAAATAAAATAAATTTTAATTTAAATTAAACAAAATTAATATAATTAAAATTCTCCCACCATTACAGGCCGCAGATGGCACCATACTCAAGCAGCCAAAAATTGAGGGACAAAAGGAGCAGCCAACCTTTTACTATACCACAACAAATGTAAGTGAGAAACAAAAAATTATTTTATGTAAAATTTTAAATTAATTTCTTATCAATATTTTTATAGGGCAATGGCACCACCGTAAATCTGGCCCAATTGACCACCGATGATAGCAAAACCTGTTACATTGCCCAGCCAGTGGGTGGGTATAATTATGCCTTGGTTAATGGCATGCAATTGAATCAATTAAATCAGGGTGGTACAATTGGTATTGCCACCTTGGATCCCCAGGGAAGGATACAGATTGTCAATCAAAATAAACCATTGGCGGCGGTAAGATTTTGAATTTCTATTTTTTTATTTTGAGAATAATAAATTCATATTTGTTTTTTGCTTTACCTTTTAGTCCCTCCAAACCATCTCACCCATACAGAATACCATCTCAAATATTAGTTTTAAATGTGACGTTTGTGGTCTAATGTTTTCCCATTTGGCTTTGCTTAATCATCACAAGCGTAGCCATACTCAAGATGGTACAGATCAGCAACATCAGCCTCAAGCAGAAACAATACAGCTGGTTAATGCCCAGGGTCTGGTGCAAACACAAAATATCATCACGGAAAATGGACAAATGGGACAAATACAAATTGTGGCCACCGAGGCTTTAGAACCGGCCACAGCGGTATTGCAACAGCAGACAACACAACTGCAACAACAACAACAACAACAGCAGCATCAACAACATCATCAGCAACAGTCACAGCAACAACAAAATGCCAATGAAGTTTTAAATCAAAACTCCGGTGGTACCAAAAGCTTAAAATTGGAACAAAGTAAATGTACCACCTGCGGCAATCAAATCCTCCAACCCGTCAAACGTAAAGGACCCAAAATAACACGCTGTGATAACTGTATACAAAATGAACAAGCACAACAGCAAGCTGCGGCCGCAGCTGCAGCCCTGGCCGCACAACAAGTTCAACCCACCCAGATATTTGTAGCCCCAGATGGTGAGATTAAATTTGGTATGAATGAATTGGCCAGTGGGAATTCTGAATCATCAATGGATTCTCTAAGTGGTGGGGCGGGAGGAGGAGGTGGTACCACCATGATCCAACAACCGGTACAAATTATTTCAACAAATGCCCAGGGTCAACAGCAAATACAAGTGGTAACAACCCAACAGCCAGCACCAATTAATAACAACACCAACTCCTCCTCATCTGCCTCCTCGGCCAATACAGGCGCCATTATCAAGCGGGAAAGTTGTTCACCCAAAAAGAAATGTTCCTCGGCCAAGGTGACAAAATGCAATAAATGTAATGGTTCCGGTATGGTCTATGTGGGTACAGGAGCCCCCGCTTCGAAGCAAAACTCAAATCAGGCGGCGGTGGCCACCGTTAAGACAGAGTAAGAAAAGTGTAATATTTGGCGGGAAGACCGCAAAATGTATTTTGGTAAACAATTTACTAATTAAAATCTTTGTTTCCTACCTCTCTCCCTCCCTTTAGAAATGTCAAACCTTTCACCTGCAACATTTGTGGAGGCACCTTTTCACGTTACTCCAGCCTGTGGTCGCACAAAAAATTGCACAGTGGCGAAAAGAATTACAAATGTACCATTTGTGGTCTGGCCTTTGCCAAGGCGGTTTATTTGAAAAATCATGCCCGCATTCATACAGGAGAAAAGCCATATAAGTAAGAGAGTTCAAATAAATTCCACCTTAGAGAATATGAATGACAGTCCGAGATCTTTTTTCCTATCTCTTCCCCATTTAGGTGTCAAACATGTGGCATGCAATTCTCGCAATCACCCCATCTGAAAAATCACGAACGTACGCACAGCGGTGAACGACCCTATGTGTGTGAGGTATGTGATAAAGGTTTTGCCCGCCATGCCACCCTATGGAATCATCGCCGCATACACACCGGCGAAAAACCCTATAAATGTGATATTTGCGGTACAGCCTTCTCACAGGCGGCTCATCTCAAAAATCATGCCAAGGTTCATTCGGGTGAGAAACCCTTTAAATGTGATATTTGTTTAGCTGCCTTTGCCGATCGTTTTGCCTTGAAACGGCATCGTGGTATACATGAAAAATATGGTCAAACAGCACCACGACAACCGGCCCAGGTTCCCGGATCACAACAACAGCAGCAACAGCATGATTCGTCAGATCAAATGATGCACAAACAGGAAATGCCCGATATGGAGGATGATGCTCAACATGAGGTGGTTATAACTGGTTTATAGACAAGCCCAAATAGAGGTGTAGTTTCCACAGCAACAACAACAACGACAGTCACCGGAACAGCAACAGGACCAACAGCTAACAGTAGCAGTAACATCTATACAACATATCAGCAACAGCAGAAACATCACCACCATCATCATCAGCAGTTGCAACAACAGGCAGAGCATTCATATCCTCCTCCTCCTCCTTCATCACAGAGAAGTCAACATAATTCTTCGTCGGCATCATCTTCCTTGACCACATCATCAACTCTGTTATCCGCAACATCCTCAGCCCTGGCATCACAACACCACCACCACCCCACAGCTGCCTCCTATTTACATCAACAACACAGCTATCAGGCAACATCACTTAGTCAGTCTGCTACAAACCAACCACCGATTTCTTCTTCAACAGCTCCGTTCTATTATCATCATCACCACCATCATCATCATCAAATGAATTCCAATTTAGCCAATATAACTGAGGTGATAGCCATCAATTCAGGCCATGTTAGCAGTCTCTTGACACCATTAGCGAAACGGTAATTGCTGTGCCATTAAGGTCGAGGTTGGTTGCGGTCAAAATAAACATAAAGAAGAGGAGGTAAGAAAAGAAAATATTCTTAGCAAACTCCACGCCTTGAGAGGATCCTTAAAAAAAAACACTACCTATTTGTTTAGTTTAGGTTATGTTGAAAAGAGGGGTGGATAATACCGCCCAATGCCCAACATGAGAAGGACAAACACACAAAAGATATTCGAGGCCTGTTGTGCGCTCTAGAAATGCGGAGAAAGTCAAGTCAAGAATTAGTGAAAGTTTATATTAAAAAAAAAACTCCTTCGAACTCCTTCAATCTTATCCATTCACACCCCCTCAGATCGGTTAGTCCGTGCAGAGTGTCATTTCCCAAGAATTGTCTCCGACGGCATGTAAATGCTGGCCAGTGGCACAGGAAATGTTTCAGCGTTTCACAGTCTTCTCCACACGCTCTGCACGCACTACTACCTTCGCCTCCAATCTTGAGATGTGCCTTCAGGCTGAGGTGTCCCGTCAGAATACCCGTCAGTCGGCTTATTTCTTTTTTGTTTAGCGTTAGGATTTGCTTAGTTTTGTCTTCACTTGGGTCACGCCATAAGATTTTGGATATTTTTCCTGTCCCCTCATTATCCCAAAGGGTTTTGTGGGTGTCATTCGGCCATTCCCTCATTTCTTGGCGTGTTTCGCTAAAGGCTTTAGCGGTATTCACATCTATTGTGGGTAGTGCAGTAGCACTCCTGGCTAGTTGATTTGCTATCTCGTTGCCTATGATTCCTTGGTGACCGGGTACCCGTACCTCCGATGGAGGTTAATCTGGATGACTTCTATCATCCCCCTCGCTTTTTTCCTCGGCTCCATCGTCTCCAATCCTTGCCTTCTCGATTTTGAAGTAGACGGCATTGGACACGTAGTGCACCTTGCCCTTGGTCTTAGCCAGACTTGCCATTGAAGATTTGTCCAAGCCTAACACAAGGAGAGTCCCTTCTTTCTTCTCCTCGCTGTGGAAGACTTCCCATTTCTTCACGTGCAGTGTCTTGTTTTGTAGGCTAAAGACCTTGAGCATGCGTTCCGTGTCGAAATCGCTGCCCCAACCTCTAACGAAGACTGTAGCCTTTTGTAGTCGAGGAATGTATTTTTTTCCTCACCAGCTTGAGTTTCATTGTTCCATCTATGGCTCCAATGCTTGCCACTACGTTTCTCAGGGCTTCTATGCTTTTTGGATTTTCAAATTCCAGCATTAGATAGTCCCCTTTAAAAGCGCAGATATCCACTTCAATAGAGTCCCCTCCTTGTCGTAGGTACTCCTTAATCTTGGTGATGACTTCATTTAACACTTCCTTATGGGTCTCCTTCTATAGCTTACCGGACGCGCTATTCCCGTCGGGCGCTGCATAGCAGAGCTCGTCTCGTCTCTTTCCTGGCAACCTTGGCATAAGACGGCGGCTCCTTACCATATGTTGCTTTAATCTTCCTCTTTTGCAAATTCCGGTTGGTCCTTTTGGGATTCCCGGTCTTTGTGGAAGATTCCGACTCAGCACTTCCTTATGGGTCTCCTTCTTTATCTTACCGGACGCGCTATTCCCGTCGATCACTGCATAGCAGAGCTCGTCTCTGTTTCTGTCATTTTCCTCTTTCACAGCTACCGGTTGGCCCTTTTGAGATTTCCGGTATTTGTGGAAGATTCCGACTCAGCACATGTCTTCCTGATACCAGAGCTAGTCTCTTTTGACGTTGGTTTGACTCGGCATTCTCTTACAATCGGTCGACAGGAAGCTCTTTTTCTTTTTGGCGGATTTGACAGTCTCCTGTTCATCCGGAGACCTTATCCACTTCGCTGCTTCCGCAGAAGTGGAGGGAAGGTCAGGCTTATCCCTTTATGCCTATGTTTGCATCTCGCCCTTTTTGTTCATCTGGTTCATTGTGGCCAATTTCCGCCTTTGTGCCCCAGACAACTTTCGCAAATTCCGGTTGGTCCTTTTGGGAACTGCTTCTCTTCCTGATATAAGAGCCAGCTTCGTCTGCCCTCGTCAGTGGATTCTCGTGGCTGTGTCCTTTGAAGTTGGTTTGGCTTAGCATTCTCTTATTATCGGTCGACGGGAAGCTCTTTTTCTTTTTGCCGGATTTGACAGTCGCCTGCTCATCCGGAGACCTTATCCTCATCGCCGCTTCCGCAGAAGTAGAGGGAAGGTCAGGCTTATCCTTTTGAGCCTCTGTCTGCATCTCCCTCTTTTTTTTCATCCGGTTCATTGTGGCCAATTTCCGCCTTTGTGCCCCAGACAACTGCTTCTTTCTGATATCAAAGCCAGCTTCGTCTGCCATCGTCAGTGGATTTTTGTGGCAGTCTCCTTTGACGTTGGTTTGACCCAGCTTTCTCTTATTATCGGTCGAAGGGAAGCTCTTTTTCTTATTGGCAGATTTGACAGTCGCCTACTCATACGGAGACCTTATCCTCATCGCCGCTTCGACAGAAGTAGAGGGAAGGTCAGGCTTACTCTTTCTTTTTGGCAGATTGGACACTCGCCTGCTCATCCAGAGACCTTATCCTCTTCGCCGCTTCCGCAGAAGTGGAGGGAAGGTTAGATTTATCGTTTTGAGCCTATGCCTGTATCTCGCCCTTTTTGTTCATCCGGTTCATTGTGGCCAACTTCCGCCTTTGTGCCCCAGACAACTGCTTCTTTCTGATATCAAAGCCAGCTTCGTCTGCCATCGTCAGTGGATTTTTGTGGCAGTCTCCTTTGACGTTGGTTTGACCCAGCTTTCTCTTATTATCGGTCGAAGGGAAGCTCTTTTTCTTTTTGGCAGATTTGACAGTCGCCTACTCATACGGAGACTTTATCCTCATCGCCGCTTCGACAAAAGTAGAGGGAAGGTCAGGCTTACTCTTTCTTTTTGGCAGATTGGACACTCGCCTGCTCATCCAGAGACCTTATCCTCTTCGCCGCTTCCGCAGAAGTGGAGGGAAGGTTAGATTTATCGTTTTGAGCCTATGCCTGTATCTCGCCCTTTTTGTTCATCCGGTTCATTGTGGCCAACTTCCGCCTTTGTGCCCCAGACAACTGCTTCTTCCTGGTTGTGAGTTTGGCGATATCTTTACTCATCTCCTCTATCATCTTGTCAGCCTCTTCTCTCTTCCGGCTCTCCAAGACGGTTATTAGTCATGATCAGACTCAGAGTTCGAAGTTGAGTCCCATCCTGTCTCTGAAAGCTCCAAAACAAAAAATATTTTTAAAAAATCCACGCCTCCAAAAAATATTTTTAAAAAATCCACGCCTCCAAAAAATATTTTTATAAAATCCACGCCTCCAAAAAATATTTTTAATAAATCCACGCCTCCAAAAAATATTTTTAAAAAATCCACGCCTCCAAAAAATATTTTTAAAAAATCCACGCCTCCAAAAAATATTTTTAAAAAATCCACGCCTCCAAAAATATTTTTAAAAAATCCACGCCTCAAAAAATATTTTTAAAAAATCCACGCCTCCAATAAATATTTTTAAAAAATCCACGCCTCCAAAAAATATTTTTAAAAAATCCACGCCTCAAAAAAATATTTTTAAAAAATCCACGCCTCCAAAAAATATTTTTAAAAAATCCACGCCTCCAAAAAATATTTTTAAAAAATCCACGCCTCCAAAAAATATTTTTAAAAAATCCACGCCTCCAAAAAATATTTTTAAAAAATCCACGCCTCCAAAAAATATTTTTAAAAAATCCACGCCTCCAAAAAATATTTTTAAAAAATCCACGCCTCCAAAAAATATTTTTAAAAAATCCACGCCTCCAAAAAATATTTTTAAAAAATCCACGCCTCCAAAAAATATTTTTAAAAAATCCACGCCTCCAAAAAATATTTTTAAAAAATCCACGCCTCCAAAAAATATTTTTAAAAAATCCACGCCTCCAAAAAATATTTTTAAAAAATCCACGCCTCCAAAAAATATTTTTAAAAAATCCACGCCTCCAAAAAATATTTTTAAAACAACACTACTGAAGTTGTAGACGCAGGCACGGTTAAACTGTTTGGTTTGTTGCTGTACACTAGCAACACCAACAAAGTCGTTGTGTGCATTTGTCGCGATGTGACAACACACAACAGTGGGAAAGGTGTGGTATTGTTTAAATGCCTTGTTAACATCGAAGTGAGGCTCCAGCGAAATTCTCATGCAGTTTATGTCGTTGGTCAGCTAAGTACTTCGCTTTGTTACAAGAGACATTTGGGTATGAAAGGTTTTTTGTATAGAAGCAATAGCTTCTGGGGAGAATATCCCAACAAAAAACTAAGGGAACTGATGAGGATCAGTGGCGTGATCCGAAACTATAGTCTTCCCTGCCTTACCCCTCGGCAAACAATGCCATACATTCCCCACTAATAAATAGTTGTTTTTTTTTATAAAAACAACAAACTGGGATTCAGCCTGACTATTTTGCAAAAACAAAATACAAATGGTATCCCAAATAAACCGCCAACACTACTGAAATCCACGCCTCCAAAAAATATTTTTAAAAAATCCACGCC